GGCTTAATGGTAGATGGGATGAAGAAGAATGCAGAAGATGGCACCTGGAGCTGATGAAAATGGGCTTGTATCATATTTCTTGCTGACTTAGAGCCAAATTTCTATGACCATGCAGAATTTCAGGATTCTCCTTGCCCATCACCTCATCACTGTGGGCAATGACCGGGCTCCTGCATCTGCTGAGGACTTAGCAGGTCATCCTGCCCATCCTTCAGTCTGGGGTTGGTCTCAGCTTTGGTCCTGCCCTTGACTCCTGAGTAGCTAAGGAAAATCTCAGCAGGCCCCAATGTCTGATGTTCCAAGACACAACACCTTCTACTCTCCCATTCTGGTCTCTTTTCTCCAGGGTGTCCCTGAGGGACCTCTACCTCTGCCAGGAACCTACCCTGGGACAAAAATTATTAAGTATTTCCTAGGTGAAAGATTTACACTTAGTGAACCTAGGGTCCAAAATGCAAAAAGTACAGCGAGTGCACTACACTGAAACCTCCCTCCCCCCAGCTCTCCTCCCCAGGCAACCAGAGGCCTCTAACTCTCATCTAAATAGGTGGACATGATACACAAAAGTCTCTTACTGTATACAAAAAGCCACCTCCTTCATTATAGAGCCTCATAGTACCCTATCATATGGGCAGCCATGCCCTACTAATCAGTTAATCAGCCCCAATTAACTGACATTTAGATTGCTTCTGAACTCTTGCTTTTACAGGTCTACAGTTTCTCTTATCCAAACCACTGGGCCCAGATTTCTTTTAGAAAGGCAATTCAGTGCATATTCCATATATTATGAAACACCCTAATAGGATCTAAGGCAGCAACCTATAGCCAAACACATTAATATTTCCACTGCAAACATGTATGATAAAGTGGAATTAATAGAGACTATAAATGGTCTTGGCAGGTTTTGATACCTAATGAATTTATGCCAATCTATTGGAAATCTCCCAGTTTTCAGAACTTTTGGGTTTTTGGAATTGCAGATGAGGCTTTGTAGCACTCAAAGAATGTTGCAATGAGTAACTTGAGACACACATAATTTTGCAAGTTTACAAGTATATCCAAAGGATATGTTTCTAGAAGTGGAAACGCTGGGTCACAGGCTATGTTCATTCATGATTTTCATAGATTTTTGCTAGAACAACGACCATTATTATTCCTTGCCTGTGAGCTGCTATACTTTATGGTTTTCCAAACACTTGCACTTTTGTCTGTTAACTTTGGGGCAATGAAATTTCTTCCTCCCTCCCTCTCTGCACAAAGTTAGGTTTAAGTCTCTGTGAGCCAGGGGAGCTGAGACAGCATGAAGTTTGCTATCAGAGACAGCAGGGCCATCCCCTTCCACCAGTGTAACCCTGAGCAAGTTACCTATATCCATCCTGAACAGCTGTTTCCTCTTCTGTATACTATCTACATCCATGTCAGTCCCTCCCTATTTTCCCACCAACCTGTTTTCTTCTCTCCTGCCCACCCCCAGCCCCAGGGCCTGGGCTTTGCCCTCTCCCCCAAAGGAAGAAGAGGCCAGGCCAACAGAAAGAAAGGTCCACAGGCTTTTTAATGGTGTGATGGCTACTTCCCTTCCGAGACCCAGTCTAATCATGACAGCGGCTTCCAGGGTGTTGGGGTTGGTGTGGACAGGTGCAAGGTGGGCAGAGGCCATGCAGTGACTGGAAGTGGGTAGGGGAGGGTGTTACATTCTGTTTGGCATGTAAACATTCTTCAGTGGCTTCCCTGGGGGGAGGAGAAGGGCACCTCCCTACCCTCCACCCCATGCCCACCAGGGCTGGTCCCTGGAGCTGAGAAGACTGAGCAAACCAGGCCTCTGCGAGGAGCTAGGAAGCAGGGAGCCTGCGTGTCTGGGGTATTGCCCCTCTCCTGCACCCTCTTTGCACACAGTGTGGCTGTGGGGAGGGAAGGCATGTTCTGGGGTGAGCAGACCCGCATCTTAGCCAGTGACACAGGCTGTCGTGATGGGAAAGTACTGGAGGAGTGTGTTGGTGGTGGTGTGACACTCTTTCATAGAGAAGAGGCTCAAGACTGGGTGAAATTGGTGGGGGAATGGGAGCTCAAGGGGAAAGAGGCTGCAGCTGGGAGTGGGGGCACTGGAAGGTGTGGTTTCCTCTGCCCTTCTTGGGGAGAGGAGCAGAGTCAGGGCCCTAACTTCCTCCCACACTCTCCCCTTCCCCTCCTCCCCCCACCTTGGTGACATTCAGTGATGCAGAGGCCTGAGGTCATTTGGGAGCCCTAGGGAGGTCCGGAATCCCAAGGGCAGATAGGGTTTTGCATTTCTGTCCAGCTCTAGTGCTGGGTGAAGCTCGGGGTGGGATGGGCCTGGGGCTCTCTCAGGCCACCCCCTTTTCCTCCCAACACCAAACCAGGGTGTTATTGGTCCTGGGGCAAGGATGAGGCTGGGGGCCCTACATTCACAGTTCGGTTGGTGGCAAGGAGCAGGCCCAGGACCTGGGCACCAGGGGTCATGCCCTGGTCCCACCTGGCACGAGCTGATTGTCATTCAGAGAGGCTCTAGGTGGGAAGGAGTGGCCCCTCCTCCACCCCCTCTGCTGGGCCCAGAGGGCAGTAGAGGCCTTGGGAGGGTCTCGGGTTGACAAAGAGGGTTCTGTCCGGAGAGGTTTCCTGAGTGTTCTGGGAGCTTCTGCGTCAGCATGGGGTGGACCTTGAAGGCTGTCCACCCTGGAGTCCTCCCCTGGGCTGGTCTGCAGAGAAGCCACCACCTTGGCATGGAAGCAGCTGCCCAAGCCTGCCGACTCTCCATCAGGTGCTTCAGCTGGTACCATCAGGCTTCTGTCAGGGCCAACTTCCTCATGAGCATCCTTCTAAGTGATGGTGGTTGGATGCTGCCAGACCACTGGAGCATGCTGGGGCCTTCCTCTTCCCCTGGTTGTCTTGCCTTGCTCTCTGTGACCCAGGGAAGAACAGAGGGGCCAGGACAGGGGACAGAGGCTGTGGGTGCTGAGGATGGAGGAGGACTGCAGGGGACCTATCCTACATAGGCAGGGTTGGCTGTTCCTCTGCAGCCCTTGGCCCAAACATAGGCCGTTGAGGCTCATGATGAGTTGTGATGAGCTATGCAGGAGCCAGACCCAGGAGGAGACCCCATATCCATTCACAGAGCAGCACAGCACTCACCCTCCTCAGGGGCTGCTCAGCTGCATGGGTTGGAGTTAAGACAAGAGAGGACAGGCTGCATGGTGAGCTGGGGGTGGAGGGGATGAGGGCTGAACCTGTCACACAGCATACAACCTGGAAGTTAGGAGGGCCTTTCTACGTTGAGTCCAGGGGCCAGCTGTCTGTCTGTCTGCCTGTTTTTGCTCTCTCTGCCCACTGGGGGAGATGATGGTCTGATCCAGCCCACTCCCCACAGCCAGGAGGACAGGGAGGGTGACCTGGCCAGAACTAAGTCCCTGAATCTCCAAAGAGCCAGCACAGAGTTGGTAAGCAGCCATTCTCCACCTCCACTGAATTCAGAAGAGAGGGAATTTGGCTGAAACCGCAGTAGGCAGGATTGAGGTTAGATGGCAAGAAGGAATTCCTGATGGTAAGGGGTCCTGAGCACTAGATCAGGGGACCAAGGGAGAGGGTGAAACATTTTTTAAGGCCCCCTCCAACTTCCCACTGGGAAATACTTGCCCAGGAAGGCAGCCCACACACACTCTATGGTTCCCACTGAAGCTCCACCCAAATTTAGGGGGAGGGATCTTTGCATCCTAGAGGTGCAGGGGAGCACCCTCCCCCCATCACCTGCACACTGCCTCCCACAGTGGTGTCCAGGATAGTGCTGACTTGGGGCAGGTCAGACTTGCCCCCTCACACCTGAGTAGACCAATGGCTCCTAGGTCTCACCTCCCCAGCCCGAGTCTGGCAGCAGAGAAGAGGCCTTTCGGACCACCACAGCTCCCTGGAGACTGTGGGATTAGCCCCTTTGGGGAGGCTGGAGCCTCCACTTCTGGAATTTGAGGGTGCCTTTCTGAAAAGGGGGGGGGCTTTGGCTGGAAGAGGGTCAGGAGGAGGGAAAGGTGCAGCAGGATGGGTAAGCAGAGGTTCCTGGGGGAGCTTGGAGAGCAGCAGAGGCCTGGCGGGTGAGCGAGGTGTCCCCACTAGTGGAATCCTCGGTGAAAAGTGGCTGAGCCTTCCCCGGGGCGGAGGGTGAGCCTGCCCCACCTGAAGGGCAGCAGAGGGAGGGGCGGAGACGGGGAAGTATGGGGAGGCTGTCGCTCCCCCTCGCCGCGCGGCGACCCCATTGGCAGGGCCGGCGGGTGG